CTCTGTGAAACATGTAGATGTGCGTCTGGTGGGCAAACTCATGGTGGAGCTGTTTCACAACTGCTCCGTAGGTCGTATATTGCAGGGATTCCCAACCACATTCCTGGAGCACATCCACCACTGCACATTTTGCATGTCTCAGTTCAAACATACCTGATTCAGGTCATCAGCTCATTAGTAGAAACTCCAAGACCTGAAATTGGTGTGTCAAAAGAGACATGCAAAATAAACCAGAACCAGGAACGTGGTTCGGAGCCACTGCTTTAGAAGACCTGGGGCCTGTACCATGATGGTGGCTGATCAAACTCAGGGTTACAGGATTCGTTTTGAGTTGACAAAACCAAACCAGTCCAATCCGGCTTTGTTGGTACCATGAAGCTGATCATCAACTTTCTCTGTCAACTCAGGCTTGATCCTGAGTTAATGGAGTGCGTGCACATGAATGTGTGACATCAGTAATTTGCAGCCAATCACATGCCTTGAAACTGTGATTCACTTTTCAGAGTCAGTGCGATTCACTACCAAAAATTAAAAGATTGAACAATATGAAGAATTTAAATACATTTACAAAGCAAGATGAAACGATCTATCCATGAAAGAGGAAAACTTAAAAACATCTTACCATATAAGTGCAAGTAAAAGTTGTAAAGTTAGTTTATAGAGTTTATAATATTGATAGGTATAAAAACACTTAAAAATCTAAACTCATATGTAGTCATGTTTACAGCTATTGATTCTAAAAAAAAAAATAATAATCTCTAAAATTAAGATGATTTTATCTTTAAAAATGTTTTACTATATAGCGTCCTTTAATTTGGAGTAAGAGAAACTGGAGGAGTGGCTTTATTGCGTCAAATATGTGTCACTTTGCTTGAAGCTGATTGGTCAAATTTCGGTTTGAGATCTCTAAACCAGAACATAACCTTCCCCAGAGCAGGTTAGCTGTGGAGCATAATGGCGATGAACACTGCTAAAAGCCAAACCACTTTCATGGTACCTAAAACCCAGAGTTGGCACAAACTAAACTGAAACTTACCTGGCTAGCCAGCTAAACCGTCTTCATGGTACAGGCCACAGGTTTGTATTGTTGATCTTCAAGAGTTGCAACACCCTCATAAGATTCACAGAACCTCTGCAGCCATTCCTGTTTGAAGTTTCCCCAGCTTTCATTTCCTTTGTTCAGCAGAGTCAGGTAATAGTGGGTACCCTAGAATTGGTGTCTGTAGGGGGTCTTGCATGTAAGCGAAGGACTAGAACGGGGCAGAAAGCATCCCAGCCGGGATGATCAGACCAGTGGATGATGGCCAAGTCTGTTGAAAAACAGATTCGCCTCATTAGCCCGGGTGAATGCTCAAATGTAGGCCCTTAGATACAACAAACCATTGAGATACAACAAACCAACAAACCTTAGATACAACAAACCAACAAACTCCAACTTCCCGGGGAGCAGTTGGGGGTTCGGTGCCTTGCTCAAGGGCACCTCAGTCGTCAGTTGAAGGGGGGAGAGAGCCCTGTACATTCACTCCCCCCACCTACAATCCCTGCCGGTACGAGACTCGAACCCGCAACCTTTGGGTTACGAGTCCAACTCTCTAACCATTAGGCCTCATAATAGTCAGCTGGCCTTACCTTTGAGGTTTAATCGCTCAGTGAGAGTGTTGACATGTTTGAAAATGTGCACCGATATAAATATAACTTATATAATATAAGTTGTCCTTTGGAATCAAATTGTTTTCGAATGTTATTGTTTTTTCAATCAAGGTTAAGAGTGGTCATTGACTTCATGTTGTTATATAGTACAGCAGCCAATTTTGAGAATGCTGTCATTTCCCTATGGAGATGATACTTTCATAAAAACATGTTGACCTTTTATAGCCACTTGGAGATCTTTATTTTCCATAAACTCCCTGGACGTTTTTACAATTCACTCCAGGCTGTATCTCAGAACAGAAAACATCTTATTCAACGTCTTTAATCTTGACATAATTGTACACTGAAAATCTGTCATCAGAATTAAAACTTTTTCCCTGAATGGCTAAACGTCCACTGGGCGTTTATGCAGAGGGATATTCATGTGACATAAGAGAATAAAGCATATTTTTGTCACCACCAACATGACAAAACGGGTAGGTTAGAATTATAATCATACTCCCTGCCTAAATATGGCAGTTTAGGCATATAGACTCTCATTTCATTCCTGTTCTCAAGGCATCATGACTTCTAGAGGAAATCTTTACAACTGATTTTGGGGGGCACTGAAAAGATTGGAAGGTTGAGGGAGTAATAAAGCATAGAGACCTTTTACAAAATATGGATACCATAGGAAATTATACATACTCTCCAATTGTAGGCTATGAGCCAAATGTTCCCACGGTAAAGAGGTTTTTGATGCCAAGTTTATGAGCAGGAAATGCACAACCACACAGTTACAGAATAATAATACGATAAAATGTGATCAAGCTTCAAATCTGCTAGAATTTGAAGAGTGCCAGAATATTGTATAGGTCATTTGAGATCGTTTTTTCTGTTATGAAGGAAGACTGACAGATTTACGTTGTGATGCAACAGATATAAGTACCGGCCCCATAAAATCATGGCAATTCAGATACAGAAAATGGCTTAAAACTTGAAATAGGTATGGGAAATCTTGGTGTCTGCATTTAGTCTATTGCCGTTCCTAGATGACATTTGAAAATATTATTTAAATTTCATCCTTAAAAGCTAAAGGTTATTTTACATTTAGATATATTTTATACATTCAGATATCAAGTTCACATTTTTTAATTCTTATAACCTATATGTTGGTGTCATCTGCAAATAAATAAACCATTTACCTTATTATGATATTATATTTGAGAGGCCTGAGTCTTGGCACATCATGATTGAATCATCTGGCTATTTGTTATTTCAGACACTCAATCCTAATCAATTTACAGCACACTTACAACATCAACAGCTGTCCTGGAGCAATCTGAGGATAAGTGCTTTGCTCAAGTTTGAAAAGGGATTGAATGGGGTGCCACTTGCCAGCCCAAATCTTTAAAGGCAGAGTAAGCGATTTCTGGTAGCCAATGTTGATATTTGAAATCACCAAGCGCTGTGTGTACACAAAGATCCAGTCTGCAGTGCTTGTCATCATATGAAAAGTAGGTAATTCAAGTGTTTCCTTGGAAGTGCAGCAGTGTTTCTAAATCTGCCTCGTCCTTTATTCAAATTATTAGATGGCTCAAAAACATTTTGGATCTCGGGTCAAATTTTAATGAGTTATTTAAAACTGAAGAACCTAGTTTGTCTAACTGTAGCTTATATTATTCATTACAGTAAAGCTATTGATAATTTAAAGCATTTTTTTATCTATACATTAGTTGGCTTTTTTCCACAGGTTTTAAAAGACAGCCAGTGGACCCATTTTGATGAATAAATGAATGTCACCTCGGCCGTCTAAAATCAGTCATCAGACAGCTATTGCAGGGACCAGCGCTGCTCATCTTGAAACCTCTGAAGGGCTCTTTCAAGTATTTAAACTAAATCTCATTGAGATTCCAGCAGACATCCAGCATTGAAGTGTAAAACTGCTTTCATTCCAGTGGAAAGTTTTTTTTTTTCTGAAGCTTTTATTAAGCATCACACTTGGGCTCAGCAATGGTCCTGACACACAAGACAGTAAAGGGGTGAAAGGTGGGAATGATTCTGGAGCAGTGGCTCTCAACCAGGGGCCTTCTGCAAACTTCTAGAGGGCCCCAATAAGTCAAAATTAAAATGATTTAAATTTAGTTACATTAACATAATCATAGAGAAATAGTTCACCCCAAAATGAAAATTGCTGAAAATGTACTCACCCTCAGGCCATCACACGAGATTGTTTCCTGATTGGAACAGATTTAGAAAAATTTAACATTATATCACTTGCTCAACTATGGATCCTCTGCAGTAAATGGGTGCCGTCAGAATAAGAATTTAATCTTGCACTTTTTTGTTTTAGTGTTTTTAATCATTTTAATTAAATTTGCTGATATAAATTACAGACATGAATTACAGCGTGGTTGTTTACTACCACAGGGATACTATTAGATTTAATTTTTCTTAAATATTTATTTATTGTATTTTTATTTATTATTTTTACATTTAATAATTTGTTGTTTTGTCATTTGTATTTGTTTTTTAATGTCTATATAGGTTTTCAATTTTATTTCAGTTTTAGTTAAGTAGTCTTTTTATTTTATTTCAGTTAACACATTTCAAATTTCAAGTAATTAAGTTTTATGGTTTTGGTTTTATTTCTGGTTGACTATATAACCCTGAGTCACATAAGAGACAAGGACCTCAAATACAGTATTTATAAAGTCTTTTGTAATTGAAACTACTTTTTTGTTTTTAATTTAATGCTGGGTATAACAACCTATGGTGATATAAATGTAAATTTTTAACAATTAAAATATACAAAACATTTTATTCAAAGGTTTAGCTGTTTGAGACTACCTGCACATAAGCACCAGGGACCATCAGGCTGGATTTACATTTTGTTGAAAAGAGGCATAATTTACCGTTACGGGGCCTGGAATATATCACTGCTGACACATAAACTTTTGTAAGATTCACTAAATCTTTCCACATACGTTTCATTAAATGCATTTTTTGGTGAATAATTACTTACTAAGTTAAAAAATTAAAACCATTTGCTAAAATTAATAAATTAGTAATCAGTGAACAGCCGGGCAAAAGACATTGTGCAGGTTGCGCAATATAAGGCAAGCACACAAATGTACATTAGCGAAAAGTGAGCATATTTTCATATGATTCCGTATAATTATATAACAAAATGTGTTTGTCAGAAATCTAGAATGAACCAAACAATGATTCCTCGGCGCATCTTGAGCATAGAGGTACAGGCTAACGATGGATGTCTCCACCCCCACCACTCCTCCGTCCGCGTCTCTGCGGAGCGTGATTGGATTAAAGTCGGTTACCCTTTCCCCTCTAACCCGGTGATGCTGGCTGTTTCCTTCTTCTTCCTCTATCCAACCGCTGCTGCTGGTGATTTCGTGTTAGTTGGGCGCTGTAGCCACAGCGAGACGCAGACCGAGGACGTCAGTGGCTTTTCACGGCACAAACCCCGAGACAGCCACTGTATTATCCCATCCAAAATCACAGCAATGCGCAGGAAATCTAGGGTATTATTATGTTTCGCTGTGCTTTGGGTTCTAGGCATAGCATATTATTTCTATTCGGGGACAACGCTGAGTCGAAAGGTAGGTTTTTCTGTTCGCTTCATGTTGCATGCTGCTGGATTGGTGCTATTATAAGTTGTTAGGGGTGACTGTGTCGAAATATTTCGTTTGCGGATGAATGAGGAAAAACAGTAACTACGGCGAGAGAACCAGCACGTTTAAATAGCCAAAGTCTGCTGAGTGGACTCACAAAGATAGTGTTATCGTTCCGTGCTGTGATTTCAGTGCCAGACTGTCATATAACCGCGTTTGCTTTAACTGAATTCAGAGCCCGCTACGTTGTGCGTGTTTCTAAAAGGCGCTTTATTCCGAAGTCATTTTTAAAAGCTTTGATACGCCGAATTTCTTAGGAGCAAGAGGAACGTTAACTGCTTACAAACATGAGCTTTTCGCTTGTGAATGTTACAGGGTAAATTAATAGGCTACATGAGCTTTTCAGTTTTTCAAATTAGTAATTTTTTATTATTAGGCTAATATTTAGTCTGGGACATTTTACTGGTGGTAGGGACTATGATTTTTCTCCGTGACTCGAATCTTTTGAATACGTTCACTGAAAGATTCGTTCAGACTCTGTCAGTGACGCTTTCTGCAGTTTACGTCGTTACGCCAGTAGGTGGCGACACAATAGAGTATGTTTGTGTGTGCTATGAGTCGTTGAATCATTCACGATCAAAAGGTTTTATCTTTTATTGCAATTTACGTCTAATCTACTGAATAATGAGATAGACTTAGTCTTAATAATGTGTTTAGTCGTCATTAAAGCTGCAGTCCGTAACTTTTTGTGTGTTCCAAATTTACCAAATTAATATAATAAGCGAGTACATTGTGAATCCATTTTGCAAACCATGTTTTTGTCTTATCCTGAATTTTTATATTCAGACTATTTCATACTGGTACTGGTGGAACCACTGCGGAGTAGCCCAGTACCTGCGTGATTCGTCATAGACATAAACAGAGAAAAGTAGCTCCGGCTACAATGTTCTTCCACAAGATGCACGCAGTTCTGTTTATTAACCGCTAGAGTGCCAAAAGTTACAGACTGCAGCTTTAAGCATATCTGAAGCGGAGTGATATTCAATACAATTGGTAGTGTGAATGTGCAAAATTTCTGGTGTCAGTTGCTTCCAGTTTATTTAACTGCACAATAATATAGTTTTACTATTTACTGTACTTTGTTATTCTTCTATCTACCTATTGGGCTAATAAATCATACATCTCGCCCATTAACAGGAAATAGCTTATTTCCACATTAAAAATTAAGAAGTGTGTGTGTATGTAAATAAAGTCCCGGTGCATTTGGACTATGCCGTATATCAGACTGTTGTAACAACACAAAAAATTGTGAACTGACTGTCATACAAAGAACCATAATCTTCCAAAAAAAAGACAACAAATTTGCATTTACAGTAACTTTTGATCTCTAGAAGCTGTATGTCTGTATCTCATTAATCATCACTTGACAGTGTGTACATATTGCACTCAGTTTTGAGTGAGGGTGGTGTACCATGAAACCACACTTTTTAGTAACATACCATCTGTCTCGAAGGAAGTTTGCTGAAATTCCTTTGCTCACAGGCAAATATTCAGCTCGTGTACTTCCCTTTATATTAAATGACGCATACTGTCTTGAGATTTTGTTGTGTTTCGTGCTTTGTTTCCATAGCTGTCCATCAGCCGCAGTCAGCCAACCCATTTTCTATTGTGAGTGCATTTGATATTGTGATCAAGGCACAATGAGGTGAATGGACCGCTGCACATTTGGGAATTGCTCCCTTATGGCACTCTGAATGTACGTTACTGAATGTAACGCTATTGTTTGTAGTGTAGCATTGATCACAGTTTGTTGTTCACAAGTCATTATTGTCCTGTACTGTGGCCCGAAATGGGAAACGATGCATGGCTAGAATAGAAATATACTGGACTTCAAAGACCTTGCTGTTTAGCTAGTTTCTCTACTGGTTTATTGCTGCTTTTATCATATAACCTCATAATGTATGAAGACGGCTGCTTGTGGATTTGTTTTTAAAGCTTTATGTAGTGTAGCATAAGCAAGTGGCTGAACAGCTGGTTAGCGCTCCTTCATCTGGCTCAGGGCACTTTGTTGAATCCTTCTCTACATTGAACGAGACATCGATGCTGCCGTTTGGTGCAGCTTGTGTTCCTTTATATCTGTAAAATTACTCATTTATTTCATTTTATTGAAGATTTTAAACTGACCTGACCTTTGCCTTGTCCTTATGCATTTATTTCTGCGAGAACTGTGCTAGTTGCGCAATAGATTTTAAACAGATGTCAAAGATTGTGTCTCAGCGAGGAAATGAGTTTCTGCAACCAGCGAGGGTGGATGACAGCCCCGGGACGGTGGGGTTGCACAGACGCTCATCACGGATTCTAGTACCTCAGTTATGCAAGGGTCAGATTCTGAATATTTTCCCTATCGGATTGTTTTTTTGGAGCCAAGGCTGGCCTCGGATGCGGGCGGGATAGGAAAACGGGGCTTTTATCTCCACTGAGAAATGCGTTTGATCTGATATCTGCTCCACAACACAATTATTGACATGCTGATTGTTCTGCCCCTGTTGGCAGGATTACAGTGGCGGTGTTGGGATGGGGCCGAACTGCTTTCAGTCACTTGTTCAAATCAAAGCTTGTTAACATCAGGATGAACCAAAGTGCATGACAGATTCGGTCAGCTCTTACAAAGCTGTGTGTGTCTTCCTTTTTTCTTCGTTTTTGCCTTTGATACCAGAGGAAAGTAAGCCATTTGGGTCTGATGAGTGTCATAGCCTACAGATGAATTTGCAGCGAGAAATAAAAGCGAAGCAGGGGCACTAATTTCTTCGTGACTGTGGGTTTCTCTTTCTCATTTTCTGAATTGCTGGAGATGTTCTGCTAAATGCCACTGTTTTGACTGATATTGATTGTTTGTTTTTTTGGGGGTTGCCGATGCCGATATTTTAGAGAACAGGGTCGCTGAAATAAAGCTGATCTATATAGCCGGGTTTTCATCCAAAGTTGCAAATTTAACTTATGCACAAAATTGGAATATCGCATAAAACATTTGCGAACAAGCACTGTTTCCATCCATTGAGTCAAAGAGAACAAAATCGTCGCTTCCTGATAAACTGGCACTATAAATCACTAAGAAAAGTAGGAGAAGCCACTGAATATAATAATTTTCAGATATAATAAATTACTTGCACCTCAGAGCGAGCAGACTAAACAAAATAAATGTGGTCATTGATTTCGGAGGTGGATGCCTGCCGTTTGGGAACGCAGTCGTGTAAGACAGTTCTGGGAGGCAATTATACATAAATACTTTAACGACAGACTTTGCTCGGGCATTTCAGAATGACCATAACATTTCAGATGCTGTGGAACAAGATTGGTCCGCTGTTTAGTCAGGTTTTGCCGTCCCAAAAGTCACATGACTTTTTTTGATGCGCATGGAGGAATTTATTCGGCAAATGCGTTGTTTGCACAAGTCAAAAACCACCTCAAGCAAGCTTAAAAACTATTTTTTGAGTTAATTAAATTTTATTTGAAATTTGCCATTTCCATCACTCGTTTCTGATGTGATTCTTTAAAATGCGCATTAAAACGGTGATGGAAACATCGCTAATGATATCACACTAATAATTTAGCTATTAGACAGAACTACACAGAGAGTGTAAAATAATGAAGATGGAGAATCTGGACATTGGCGTTTTCAGCATTGTCAAAATAAAAGTCCTGCTTTTGGGCTTTGATGATAGTTCAATTGACTACTACTTTTGAGGAAGACGGAAGACCGATGTTAGAAATAGCAAATGCCAAAGAGGCTAAATGTAGCCTACACTTTAAAAAACACTGGGTTAAAAACAACCCAATTTGGGTTGTTTTTAACCTAAGGGCTAGGTAAATATAGGACAGAACCCATCTTGGGTTAAATTTACCCAGCAAATTGGGTTGTTTATTTAACCCAGCATAATGGGTTGATTTAACCCAGTCAAAACAACCCAAACACTGGGTTGTTACATTTGACCCAGGAGTTGGGTAACACAAAAACTACCCAAACACTGAAAAAAATAACCCCAAAAAATGACCCAAAAGGCTCAACCCAGCATTTGGGTTAAAAAAATAACCCAGGATTTTTTAGAGTGTAGTGTTTTGGCATCCCTGTCAGTTTTGTTTGGAAGAACGTCCTGGACATTGATATATGAGGTTACGTTTTACTCACCGGAAGGTGAATTGGGTTTTAAATTTGAAGGGCAGTATTTGAAGACTTCTATCTCTTCCCTGAGATGCTGTCTGCAAAAACTCTATAGCCTTGAAAATATGATGCTTTTGTAGCTCCTTGCCATGGGATGTTTTTCTTCCTCTTATCTACCAGCTGAGCTTCAAAAGACCTCAATATTTTTTGGCTTCTTTTAAGTTGGAAACCAGATTTCACGAGATTGTTTTGTCATCTTGTTGATTCTGCAGAGTTTAATTCCTGAGATTGAATCGGTGGCTTATGTTTTAAACAGAGCATTGAGTTGTGAACTGACTGTGTAAGAGTGCTTCCTGATGTTTTCACATTAGATATGAGCAGCCAAATTGTATATGAGGCACGTTGCTTTTTTATGACCTGACCTTTGACAGGGACATGGTTATGTATCCATAAAGGGTTTTAAAGACACTTCCCCTGAAAAGAGACTCCTCTCTCTTGTGCTGTAACTTTGGATACAATGGATAACTGAGGGACCTTAGTGGTCAGAGGTCATCGGTTAAGGTTTATGACCATGGAATTCCTCTTTCTCAATTCACTCTGTTTTTACCAGATGGAGACAAGGGCTTTAGCTGAAATAGTGAGAGTGAAGGGGTGAGACTTTAGTCATGGAAAAAAAAGTTTTGTCCTTGTATTATCAGCAGGGCCAGTTATATCTTTTAAGATGGGGTTTGAGATGAGAAATCTGTAGTTTATGCAGAAACTAGAAGTTATGTATTTGTTTCTAGTCTTGAATCGGGCTCAACATTTTATCCATTTACAATTAACAAGG